TATATGTAAGGTTACATGAATGAGTGGTTATGAGTGGTTATACCATAAGCATGCATAAAATAGTCTACAATGCAACACAATGACCTGAAGGATATGTTTGTTCATTCACAGAAAGGTTTCTGGACTATAGAAGAGTCCATTTTGCTGTGCATTATGTGTCTGTCCTATGGAAAATGTAGTGAGAGTGAGGACTCTCAACATGCCATTAGGTCGTGAAATCTATCTGGTCTAGCAAAGGTGTCAGGGTTGCCATAGTAACCAGGGTCCTGGGCCTCGTTCACAGACATCTTGGCACCCAGTATGTTTATTGGGTGAGGGGTCTGTGAATGTTTGTTAATCTAATGAATAATTGATTTGTTAAATCAAATGAAAAATGGTGTGTCTGATTGGTCCAGACGGTACATGTGAAATGACAAAACGTATATGTTTTCCTTTTGAGCTCTGTGTGAAACTATATATAAATAATTTAATTCAGTTGATTCCTTTGCATAGTCACATATTTTCTTTCTGCTGTCAAACTTTTGCTGCAGCAGAAGTGTGTATTCCTGCCTTTTAAATGCATTTAAATGTATTACATTTTTTATAAGGACATCTCTTAATCTTCAGCAGAAAAGGGAATTGCGCTGACTCTTGCGAGAAGTGAATCCAAATGACACTTGCTGACACTCTCCATTGTAGCGAATCAGCTCATGGGGAAATATGAATAATTAATCGCCTTGTTCACAGACAACTTGGAACCCAGTATGTTTATTGGGTGAGGGGTCTGTAAACGTTTGTTAATCTAATGAATAATTTATTTGTTAAATCAAATGAAAAATGGTGTGTCTGATTGGTCCAGATGCTACACCATGTTCCGTGTGATTGGCTGCACACGCTCCAGAGTTAATCTTCCCCATGATTGTGTAGCCTAGTGAACCAAACTGAGAGACCATTTTGAAGGCTCAGGAAACCTTTGCAGGTGTTTTGAGTTGATTAGCTGATTGGCATGTCACAATATTCTAATTTGTTGAGATAGTGAACTGGTGGGTTTTTGTTAAATGTGAGCCAAAATCATCACAATTAAAAGAACCAAAGACTTAATCTACTTCAGTCTGTGTGCATTGAATTTATTTAATACGCGAGTTTTATAATTTGAGTTGAATTACTGAAATAAATGAACTTTTCCACGACACTCTAATTTATTGAGATGCACCTGTAATTGATGTTCAACAAATAAAATACAGATATAAACAAATGATAAAGCTTGGCTTAATGAATATTAGATCCCTTTCTACAAAAAGTGCTTTTTGTAAATGATATGATCACAGATATACATAAATTAGATGTGCTCTGTTTGACAGAAACCTGGCTAAAACCGGATGATTACATTATTTTAAATGAGTCTACCCCCCAACATTACTGTTATAAAAATGAGCCGCGTCCAAAAGGTAAAGGTTGTTGCTACAATTTATAGTAATATTTTCAGTATTTCTCAGAAGTCTGGTTTCAATTATAATTTGTTTGAAGTAATGGTGCTTCATATAACATTATCCAGAGAAACAAGTGTTAATTATAAATCCCCTGTGACTTTGTACTGGCTACTGTATACAGGTCACCAGGGCACCATACAGACTTTATCAAATAATTTGCTGATTTTCTATCTGAGTTAGTGCTGGCTACAGATAAAGTCTTAATAGTTCATGATTCTAATATCTATCTTGATAATGAAAAAGATGCATTGGAATCAGCATTTATAAACATTCTGAACCTCATTGGGGTTAGACAACACATGTCAGGGCTTACTCATTGCTGTAATCGTGCTTTAGATTTAATACTGTCACATGCAATTGATATTAATGGCTTTTAATTCTGCAGCAGAGTGATGAGATCTCGGATCACTATCTAGTCTCGTGTTGTCATGGTTCCTACTGTGAGGAACGAAGTTGCGCAGAGAAGATGGAGAATATCACAATTAGTGATGTTTTATTAACAAATTTTGGGAGGAGCATGCACAGATAATTAACACGGCCAGTCCATCATCAGTAATTACACCATCTATCCAACCAGCACAAGACAGAATCCCCATAAATAATCAAAGCAGCCTTACCTTCATTATCTGTAGTCTTTCAGCATCCCTCCACCACCCCGACTCCTCACCTTCAGCCCGTTCCTACCCCAGCACAGGGAGGAACACCCGGGGGGAGCACTCTAGGTCCGGGCTAAAAGCAGAGCTCGGACCCCTCTCCCCGGACAGGGGGAGTACCCTGGGCTCGAGAGTAATTACCAAGCTCGGAGCCCTCTCCCCGGACAGCACGCCAAATATGCATAACCTTTACTCTGTTTATTATATGTAAGTGTGAACTCGTGAAACTGTCTTTATTTAATCCACAAGGAAGGAAACACAGGGGAGCCAGGAGACACACGTAGCACGAGGAAATTACATTTAAGACAGGATGAAGGACTCAGGAAAACACAGGGCTTAAATAACAAGGAACTAATTGCAACACATCTGAAATCAATGAACAATCAAAACACGGGAGAAACAGGGTCATGGGGAGCACATGGGGAGCAAAGCACAAGACACTGAACACAGGGGCAGACCAAAGGCGTGACATTACCTCCCCCTCCCGGAAGGAGCGTCCACGCGCCACATAACATCCAACTGAGAGGGGGGTGTGCTCTGGAGGCCTCTACGGACAGGTTTACATGGGACGGCAGGCCTCCAGGGCGGTACCGGATCTGGGACCCATGGTGCATCAGGCAGTTCAGGGAGCCATGGCGGAGCAAGCAGACTAGGGAGCCATGGCGGAGCAGACTGTTCAGGGGGTCATGGCGGAGCGGCCTCCGTGGCCTTGGCCTCGGCCCAGCCTCTACGAGAAAATATCAGCCCCTGAGGCCCTCCGTGGGCCTGACGTAGGAGTAGCGGCCCTCCCTGGGCTTGACTCGGGAACTGTGGCCCTCCCTGGGCTTGACGTGGGAACAGGAGTCCTCCTTGGGCTGGACGTTGGGACTGGAGCCCTTTCAGGAGTGGACTCAGGGGCTGGAGCTGACACTGGAGCGGACTCAGAAGCTGGATCCAACACTGGAGCAGACTCAGGGGACTGGGCCCTGTTTCTCCCATGTTTTGATTGTTCACTGATTTCAGGTAATTAGTTCCTTGTTATTTAAGCCCTGTGTTTTCCTGAGTCCTTCGTCCTGTCTTAAATGTCCAAGGGTGTGACATGTGTATACTCCATATATATCTAAAATTCAACTCTTTGTTACAAATATGGTAGAACCATCACTTCTACCATGAAAACTACTTTGCAAATTATCTTCCTGACTTGTCTCAATTCCTCAGCATTTCCAATAGCTCTGAAAAACTTGATGTAACAGAAACTATTGACTCTCTCTCTTCTAGAACTTTAGATACGGCTGCTCCTTTAAGCTTAAAGAAGATTAAGGAAAACAGTCTGACATCATGGTATACGAGTACACTCGTGACTTAACTTGTTAACTAGCACCTGGACGCCGGCGCACTGAACGCTCTTTGTTTGCACGTGTCAATGTTTACGAATAGATTAAATGAAAAGGGACATAATTAATCTTGACAAACTATGTATCATTCTAAAGGTCTAAGCCTCAAGCATCGACTATAGATTGCTGTTTTTCAATGGAAAGCTTATAAAGAATGTATTTGCTAAATTTGTGTAAGCAGTACACATCAAAACATGCATAATCAAAATGAAGTAAATAGCAGATTCATAGTAATAACGAGTCAGAAACACATCCACAGCTGTAAATCCCGGTTTAGTTAGAAAGGTAAGGGTCCACTGAACAACATCCCATTGAGCACTTTTAGTCCAACAAAACTAGAGATACGTGGAATATTGATTATTTTAATTCTGGAGCTCTCTTGTGATGGCTCATGACGGCTCTTCAACATTTTTCATATATGTGTGTGTGTTTTGTGGGGAATATGGCTGTATCTGCATGATTAACATCTATATGACTGCACATCAGCGTGTGATTACTGAGTGTATGACAGCTATCAGTGTGAATGCGGTCTATATGAATAGAGTGTGATTATTGACTATATGGCCGGCCATCTGTATGATTATCATCTGTATGACCGGCCATCAGCATGTGCTTACTGACTGTATGAGCAGCTATCAGTGTGAATGCTGTCTGTCTAGCAATCACAGGATGTACTTGGCATACATAGTTATTTATTTATTTATTTTCTTATTTCTTTTTATTACTCAAAAAATTCTTATTGTTTTCTAGTGATCAAATAAATCACTTATATGATGTATAAGATTATTTCTACTATTTTATAATTGGAAAACTATGCAGTGGTATGTTTAATGACTAAAGTATTTTGTAGAACTATTCAATTCAATTTATAAATATTTTTCCTCAAAAAAGTGTGGGGGGGGGACTAGACATAGTCTCAGAAAAATGGTTACAGGAATCTAATTTTTCATGGTATCTTCTTCAGATTTGAAATAGAAACTCATGAGACATGTGACTTTCAACCCATTAATTTTCTGGATTGCTCCAGGACGGATTTCATGTATTTTTATATGAAATAATAACATAAAAATGAAGTGTGGTACACGCCGGAGCAGAGGTGGAGGCCGCAGGAGGGCACCCTTGGCGACGAGCAGACAGAGGGGCTGCAGCCGGCGGTGGGGTGGAGACAGCAGCAGACCGCCGGGGCAGGATGTGTCGAAACGCCTCCGTCTGCTTCTGCACGGCGGAGAACTGTTGGTCAAAGCCCTCCACCGCTTCGCCGAATAGGCCGGCCTAGGAGATCGGGGAGTCCAGGAACCCACCGTCGAGGGTGGTGAGGACGGAGGAGGCACCAAGTCTGTTTCGGGCAGAAAAAGGTGCCTTCCAAGACTTAGTAACCTCCTCATGCACTTCCGGAAAGAATGGAACCGGAGGCGGCTGCCGACGACCAGCCTGCGCCCCCAGGAACCAATCTTGGATTTCTTGGATTTGTATTATTAGAGCTTTCTGACTCGAGTTCACATGCATTTTCTCAGTCAAGAAATTATTTTTCACATGAGGTGCCGGTGATGATGTTTCTTACGTCCGTTTCGGAGAACCAGAGGACAAATATTTAAATCGATCGCTCAGGCATGGCACCAAAATGAGGCACCGAAATTTGCGTTCTGATTCGGTTCTAGTACATACCGGTTACATAGGTACCGGTGCCATATTGGTACCGGGTTTTGGTACCCAACCCTACATTTGATGCTATCGACCACAAAATTATTTTGAGTAGACTACAACATTATGTTGACATTAGTGGAATTGCATTGTCATGGCTCAAATTTTATTTATCTGACTGTCATCAATACGGAGCAGTGAATGACGAGGTATCATATTGATCACAAGTACAGTATGGAGTACCACAAGGCTCAGTACTGGGAACGTTGCTTTGCACACTTTATATGTTAACCTTGGGAGATATCATCAAGAAACATGGTGTTAGCGTTTACTGTTATGCTGATGATACTCAGCTATATATTTCTCTGCGGCCAGATGAAACATACCAATTCGCAAAACTAACGAAATGCATAGTTGATATAAATACCTGGATGACTTGTGATTCCCTACTGCTTAATTCAGAAGAAAACATTTTTTCCTGAATTTTCAAGTTTTAATTATTGGACCAAAAACCTCAGCATGTAATAACATAAAATAAATAAAGCAAATAAATATAACAAACAAATAAATAAATAAATAAAGTAGCAAATCATTTTGTATTATATATATTTGTTTTCTTTTTATTTATTATACAATTATAAAAAGCAAAAAGGTCTCTAACACAAGTTTGCTCTATTCTTTTTCTATTCTCTGTTTCTATTCTACAGATACTCAAAAAGTGTACTTAAGTACAATACTCAAGTAAATGTACTAAGTTACTGTCCGCCTCTGGTGATAATTGAGATGACTCCCCATTTAAATGAACAATGTGGTAGCGATCGGACAGGTAGGATCTAAACCATCTTAAAGCCTGCCCTTGGATACCTGTATAGTTTTGTAATCGATCTATGAGTATGTCATGATCTATAGTGTCAAACGCAGCACTGAGATCAAGTAAAACTAGCAATGAGATGCAGCCTTGGTCTGACGCAAGAAGCAAGTCATTTGTAATTTTAACAAGTGCAGTTTCTGTGCTATGGTGGGACCTGAAACCTGACTGAAATTCTTCATAGAGGTAATTTTTTGCAGAAAGGAGCACAATTGAGCAGACACAACTTTTTCTAAAATTTTAGACATAAAAGGAAGATTTGAGATGGGTCTGTAATTTGCCAGTTCACTAGGATCTAGTTGTGGTTTCTTAATAAGAGGCTTAATAACCACCAGCTTGAATGGTTTTGGGACGTGACCTAAAGACAATGACGAGTTAATAATATTGAGAAGCAGTTCTTCTGCTACAGGTAACAACTCTTTCAGTAATTTAGTGGGTACAGGATCTAACAGGCATGTTGTTGGTTTAGATGCAGTGATAAGTTTATTTAGCTCCTCCTGTCTTATAGTTGTAAAGCACTGCAGTATATCTTTTGGTGCGATGAATGAAGCTGAAGTAGAATCTACATTTGTTATTGTATTTCTGATGTTATCTATTTTATCGGTGAAGAAATTCATAAAGTCATTACTATTAAACTGTGAGGGAATATTTAGATCGGGTGCCGTATGGTTATTTGTTAATCTAGCCACTGTGCTAAATAAAAACCTTGGATTGTTTTGGTTATTTTCTATAAGTTTGTGGATATGCTCGGCCCTGGCAACTTTTAGAGCCTGTCTATAGCTGGACATACTGTTTTTCCATGCAATTCTAAAAACTTCCAAGTTAGTTTTTCTCCATTTGCGCTCAAGAAAGAGAGATAAAGGCTCCTGCGGGAGCAGGTACTGCTGCGGCAGTGGGAAATACAGATAAAGGCTCCTGCGGGAGCAGTCACTGCTGCGGCAGTGGGGAAAAACAGATACTCTCCTGCGGGAGCGGGGTGTTGCTGGGGTGGAGATGGGGAGTGGAGATGAGCCACTATGGGTGGATTTGGTGGTGTTAAAAGGGATGGCTATGGTGGGTCTGGAGTTGGAGTGAACAGCGAAGGACTGGCATTAAAGGGGTCGGCTGATGAGGGTTCAGTGAGCGTCTTTGATATGGAAGCAGTCTGATCGAATGTTGCTCTTGAAGGCCTTTTTTTATTATTAAGTAGAGCGGTGAGGGAGAGGAGCAGGGGCCGCGATTGTCAGCTGAGGCAGCCTCATGCTTAAATCAGCCTCTGGGCTAGTGTCTGCTATGGGAGCTGGAGGCCACTGAGCAGGAAAAGGGGCTATTAATAACGGGAGGAAAAGACTCAGATATGTGGGCCTGTGTTGCAAGTGGGGGCAGTAGGTCACGGGAAATGAGTGGGGTTCCTGAAGAGTCTGTGTAGCCTGCACCGCTAGCGGAGGCAGCCTCACGCTTGGGTCGGCTCCGGGAGTGTTTGCAGAAGAAAAGGGGGGGCAAAGAGGGGGAATGGTGGGCATCAGGGACTGCGCCATTAGCAGGGGGGGTGGAGAGGGGGAATGTGATGTCCTGAAGAACCTGTGTAGCCTGCACTGCTAGCGGAAGCAGCCTCACGCTAGCGTCTGCTTAATGGAGCTGGAGGCCGCTGAAAAAGGAAAGGTTTAGAAGTAGCAGAGGGAAAGACTGGGATGTAAGGGCTTGTGGTGCAAGTGGAGGCAGCGTCATGCTTGCTTCAGCTGCGGGCCGCGGGAAAGGAGAGTGGTTTGTGACATTTGACTGGAAATGTTGAAATGCCAGAGTAGCCTGCAGTGTTGCCAATCTAGCAATTTTGATGCTAGATTTAGCAACTTCTCAGACCACCCTAGCAACTTGATCTCCAAAGCACATAGCAACAAATTTAGCCATTTAAAATTTTATTTGGCAACTTTTAGCATCTTTTAAAAGTGATAAAATGCCTAAAAAAGACATGTATTTTCCTCTTAACCACTCAAAGAAGAAAGTACTGTAAAGCATCGGCTAGATACTTAGAGAGAGGTGCCTAGCAATACATATCACGTGTGAATTAGGTTGTTAGTTATGCTTGTTCAATAAAAATGTATTTATGATACACCTTAGTTGTTAGTTTGTGCCTATAATTGTTAATCATTTAGGTACATAGTTGAACTTATTTCTCGAAAATCAATCTTTTGAATCCGTGTATCTGAGTGAAATGTGTAATTTAAAATAGTTAAAAATTACAGTAAAATTAATTCAGAAAATCTGAGTCATTTCGTGTTTGCATCATGGTTACAAAATGACATCAACACCCTGTTATGTCACAAAGTAGTTTAATGACTTGTAGCAACAAACGACCTGCCTTTTAGTGACTTTACCTAAAATTAATTTGCAACCCGGCCTGTGCCACTAGCGGAGGCAGCCTCACGCTAGCATCTGATACAGGAGCTGGAGGCCCGGCTGCATACGACGCTGCGGCTAGAAGAGCCGCGGGGAAAGGTTGAGCTGAAGCGGGAAGCGAGTGAGGCTTTGCTGCGGTGAGATCTGGGGTGCGGCCCAGGCGCATTGAAGGCCTGCCGCTGCGACCAAGCGCTTAAGGAGAGCCGGGTCTGGGGGGTGATGGTGGTGTCGAGCGAGGTGAGTTCGGGGCCTTGCGAGCTTTGCTTGAAATATTGTCTGCTCTGCTGAGTGGACTTAGGAGCGAGGTTGGCTGATTTCAAGGTGACGAATAGATTGTACAGATACGCTTTGTATTAATTCCTCCGTGAGAACGGTGCATCGGAATTAATCAGTGTTAGCCTCAGGCTTAAATACTATCCACTTTCCGATCTGAGGAATTGTTGGCATGGCCAAATTATACGAGGATGCAGGAGAAGTTGGAAGTCTCACCAGTGGAGGTGAGGTTAAGCCTCAGCGTCGTGGAGAGCATGTGGCTGGTCGAGCAGAGCAGCGGCCGCGATGAAGCCTGGTGCTCGGCGGCGGTGTCTGAGAAGGAGTGATCCTGGGGCCGGCAAATTGCGGCGGAGGATCCGAAAAATACCCAGTATAGGTCTCTTCGTTGGACAGGAAATTGGGTCTGTGGTAAAATGGAAAAAGGAGCGAACCGAATGCTGAAAGACTAGAGAGAATGAAGGTAAGGCTGCTATGATTATTTATAGTGGTTCTCTCTTGTGGTGGTTGGATAGATGATGATTACTGATAGTGAATTGGCCAGGTTGATTATCTGCGCATGCTCCTCCTGAAATTTGTTAATAAAACATCACTTTTCTATCTCCACAAGTGCATCTATTATGTTGCATTGTTTATCTAAAAGTGCACTTTTCAAATCTAGCTAAAAACCTACGTGTTTACTGTTTCACACAATTTACTGTTTCACAATAAATTGATAAATAACTTAATTTCCGTGTCAATCATGATAATTTTTACCTCGAACAATGCGCTGTCACTTTAATTCAGCGCGTGCAGCACAGCAAAAATAGACTTGGTGCGGAAACGGTCGCTGCAGTGTTGCAGACTCGCCGCTGGAATGCACCGACGGACCGCTACCGCGTACAGTGTGAAATATCTAATCTGTTAACATGGGTGCGGAAAAAAATACACACTGCATACACACTGCAGACGGAGTATGTGTGAAACATGCGTAACACTTGATGGCTGCTCTGTTAATTCTTCGTCATCAGTTAGGAACCTAGGTGTGCTGTTTGATAGCAATCTTTCCTTTGAAAACCTTGTTTCTAGCATTTGTAAAATTTTTCCATTTTAAAAATATATCTAAATTACGACCCATGCTCTCAATATTAAATGCAGAAATGCAGTCATGCATTCATGACTGAAAGGTTAGATTATTGTAAGGCTTTATTGGGTGGTTGCTCTGTGCGCTTAATAAAACTCCAGCTGGTCCAAAATGCAGCAGCTAAAGTTTTTATTAGAACCAGGTAGTACGGCCATATTAGCCTAGTTCTGTCAATTCTGCACTGGCTCCCTATTGAACATCGAATGCATTTTAAAATCTTGCTAATAACTTATAAAGCCCTGAATGTTTTAGCTCCTCAATACTTGAGCGAGCTCATATCGCATTATTGTCCTTCACGTCTGCTGCAATGTCAAAACTCATTTTGATATGCCATTTGATAATACCTAGCATATCAAAATCAACTGTGGGCGGCAGATCCTTTTCCTATTTAGCACCCAAACTCTGGAACAAACTACCTAACATTGTTTGGGAGGCAGACACACTCTGTCAGTTTAAATCTAGATTGAAGACCCATCTCTTTAACCTGGCATACACATAATACACTGTCGCATTTCTATAATTCAAATCGGTGGGGGGTGGGGGTGCTGGGGTGTTCAAGAGGGGCACCTCAGCCAATGAGGGCAGAGGGGGAGTGGCTCTAGCCATTGGATCACCCCCATGTGCACAGCCCTGGGATGATGTAATAAGCATCATATTCCTTTAGGCAGACGTGGGTCAGCTGAGAATTAGATGATGCAAACATGACTAATGTGACCTGCCAGAACTAACGCTATGCTTGATTTCAGCTTTTTGGTTTAACCCTATCTTCATTTTATAGATGACTTTTGTGTTCTCTGTGTGACAATTAGCTCCAGTCTTGTCTATAGTGTAATACACAATAATGCCTTTATGTCAACTAGATGCGCCCCAGAGACGGATCCCCTGCGAAGACCTCATCACCTCTACAACCACGGGAACCAGACAAGTCCTCTGCACCTGTATTGCAGCCTGGAATTAAACCACGCCATACTGGTTTCGTCTGGCAAGAGGAGAATTGGCCCCCCAACTGAGCCTGGTTTCTCCCAGTGTGTTTTCTCTATTTCTGTCACAGATGGAGTTTTGGTACCTTGCCACTGTTGCCTTTGGCTTGCTTAGTTGGGGATGCTTGACGGATTGCACAGACACTATTGGAAGAGAGCTGAACTGGATGATGACATCATTGAATCGTCAATTAAATACAGAGTTTTGACATGAAACTCTAGATGGCGCAGTCCGATAGATCTAACTCAATCTGACCTAATGACATCATTATCACATGGCACAGCTGATTGGTTCTCTCCTGTATCGGTAGCCAATGAGCTTGCTGGTCAACATTCAAATATATGGCTAGTGCTTGCCATAGCAGTTGCAGCTTGCTTCAGAACAGCGAAATCAATGCTAAGAAAATCTAAGATAAGTGAATGCTCTTCTAATCCATATTGCTATGTGTATTGCATGGTGTAAGGAATTTTAGCTCAGGTTTTCGGAGGGAATCGAATCTGAAGATTCAAAATGTATAACTTACACTTCATCAACTATTCGTCCAGCATCTAGTAGAATTTAGTGTATCTTACCAACTTTGTTTGTACTACTCCGTGGCCAACGATGATAATACAAGATTGGTATTTGTGTTAACTATGAGCAAGGTAACAAGATATGGGCAAAGTTTTAACTTTAAAATACACAACACAAGACACTGCTTATTTATAATAAATCCAGAATTTATTTGAGCTACTCTAAGGACAGGAACTAAACTAATGAAAACACAAACATATGCACACACACATACAGTTTACAAGATGAGAGTTAACAGGGTTGGACTGAAGTCCCAAAATTCTAGCACTTGTTACTAGTTCTTAGATCGCAACCTGAGAGAATCACAAAGCAGAGATTTGTCTTATCTTTACTGCTTAAGATCACTTCACACCAGTTCAAGAGATGAAGCTTTGTTTGTTAACTTGCGTTTCGGTGAAAGCTGAGTGGGGTTTCCTCTGTGGCTTGTCTGAGGGAGTCCCGGCGTTGCTGATTGGCTGGTAATCTTCCTTGATGATGTCTTTTTGGGAGAGCCCTCGTGGTGAATGGTTGATTGCCTTGTGATGTAGGAGCTTCAGAAGTCGGTTGCCTTAGGTACGGAGAGTGATTCTTGAAGTTCTTCTGAGAGTTTCTTTGCTTATAAATTAACCTAATGTTCTGCCAGTCACGTTGGGAACATCCTTGCCAGATTTTGTTAATACTTCTATAAAGTGCCTTACAACGAACACTGTTTATAATACCGGATTTTCCTGCACAACAATATTTTGGAAATAAAACAAGCTTTCATTCAACATCAAATATCAGGTATCTTGCATACACCTTAATACATTTTATCTGCTAAAAGTGGTATAATGCATAGATGAAAATTCACAGATTACATTAAACATATCAAGCATATAAAAGACATAAAACACATTATTTGTGGATACATTTGCACTACTTATGATGAGTTTTTAAATGATTGTCTGTTGAACATCGTCCATGCAACTTCTGGGTTTCTTTGTTGCAATAAAAAGAGCGCATCTCTTTTGGAATGCAGGGTGTGAGGGGAATCATCTGTTCCCGAGGTCAAGGAGGTCACTCTGTGGAGCTCTGGTGAGCTTCCCGTTCAAAGTGTCACAGTAAATCTATCTCTTTCTGTTTATTTGATTATCGATTTATGCTGAAGCTAGTCATGAGATAACACTGAAGCTCTGTTGCTTAAATGGTTTCA